TTCTTCTGTAAAATGGGACTGACATGCCCTGACCCCTCCTGAGGCTGTGATGCGGATGTACAAGATAATGTACAGATAGTTCAGTGGGTGCCTGTTACATTGCTCATGGCCTTATGGTCTTACAGACTTGATGCTATGATTTTTAGTTACTTCTCCAATATCACTATGAATATGTTAAAATTAAGTTAAGCTTCTGTGCTTATTCAACTTCAACAAGCAAAGTGTTAGGGATGTTCATGAGTTTCTAAATCATTCCCCCTGACTCAGTTGCTAGTTTCCTGGGCAGTGAAACTATGCAAATAAGGAAGATCTATCAGCAAAAAGGCCCACTAGGAAACCTAGCTTGTCAATCAGATACCTTAGTAAGCGCCACAGACCTGACAGTGAGCAATGATACAAAGCCTCAGCAATACGCTCAGTGGAAGTTTTAAAATAACAAAAACTGAGAAGGCCTGGGGCATGGCTAAAATGGTAGAGCGCCTGCCTAGCAAGCTTGAGGCCCTGAGTTCAACCCCCATACCCCAAATAAAACAAAATAAAAACTAAGGAGAAGAGTGTAGAGGCCAAAGGCTGAGAGCCAAAAGGTCAATTACATGACATTGTAAGAGGTGCTCAAAATGTCTGGGATGCCCAAGGTCACTTTGCTAGTTAGTGTCACACCGATGATTCAAACCCAGGCCTTTTTTTCCTGCATGCTGTATTTCATACAAATAAAAAAAGCATATTTGTTCATAGAAATATTTTAAATGTTTAATTCATCCACTTTGAAACTAAAGAATTAGAACCATAAAGTGTATTTAATATAAAAATTAGAGCCAGGCATGGTGGTACATGCCTGTAATCCCAGGACAGAAGCTGGAATGGAGGTAGAAGCATCTCAAGTTGGAGACCAGCCTGGGCTATATAGCAAGGCCCTGCTTCAAAAAACATGTAAATAGTGCTAGGGATGTAGCTTAGTGGTAGAGTGCCACAAAAAAGCAAATAGATTGGTTCTATTTAAGTTTTCTGTTTTTTAAAAGTTAAATCTAATTTAAAAGGAGTGGTATTTCTTTTTGTATTTATCATGGTTGCAATTTTACATTTGTTTACATGATTACTTAATTCTGTCTCCCCCACTAAATCAAAATGAGCCATGTCCATTTTTATCTAACATATAAATGATTAATATGTGTTTGGTGAATGAATGAGTGATCCACTGGTGTTGATTACAGCCAGAAGGTCATCGGCACATAGGTGAATTTAGCCTTTGGTTTAGGTGGGAGTAGAAATCTTACTGGTATCCTATATGAAGATACTAAAGGTAGGCAAAGGAGTTGTTCCTTGGTAGCCAAAGAGAATAAATTTGCTTGTACTGGACTTGTAACCGAAGGCCAAAGGCAGGTCTGATCTAAACAGACCACAGGCAGGAACAAAGCAGAGGCAGGGAAAGTCAAGTTGAGACATTGTATCAATTCTCCAAAAAGAATGTAGTTTCTTCACTGTGATTTCTTCTCTGTGGTCCTCTACAGATCTCTGACAGAACATATGAGAAATCTAAGAGGCAGATTTTTGGACCCAGACCTCAGCATCCCCAGGAGGTGGTGCCAAAAAAATCTGTCTTTTTAACAGACTCCCAAGGTAATTCTCACTCCAGGGTTTAAGAACTGCAGAACTTGGAAGGGCACCAGACTGGCCGAGGGTAGATGACTGTGTCTTGGGAAAAGTCTGTACTGTATCATAAAATGAGAAGAAGGGAAACCTACAAGAGGCCGAAATAGATGCCAGAGTCAGGGCACTGCTGCGAGTCCTGGATAGCGAAAGTTTAAGACGAAGTAGATGAACAAAAGTGTCACGTGTAACTGAGATGTCAAGGAGGAAGATGGAGAATATGGTAAAAAAAGATCCAATGAGGATTTTAAACATATTTTTAGTGAAGTTATGAGACAGAATACAGCACCTGCCTAGCAAGCACAAGGCCCTGAGTTCAAACCCCAGTGCCACCACTACCAAAAAACCAAAACAAAACAAGCAAAAACACCAAACACTGCCTCCCAGTGATGTATTTTCTGACTCTGATGGACAGAGTCTGACAATCCTTGAGGGTTTGTAATTCTATGATAGCAGTTTACCCATTGTACGGCAAAATCAATTTATCTTCCTAATTTACATAGAAAATTCTTTAAATGCAGGAGCTGTGTCTTTTTCTCTATTTCCATCTCTTCTCCCTCCACCCCTGCTTTATTGAGATACAGTTGACAAATAAAAGTTGTATGTATTTAAGGTGTATAAACTTGATTTTTTTTTGAGTCAAGGTCTCACTATGTAGCCTAGGCTAGGCTGGCCTTCAACTCTCAATCCTCCTGCCTCTTCCTCCTGAGTGCTGGGATTACAAGCATAGAACACCACACCTGGCCTCAACTTGATGCTTTGATAAGGACCTATATCTTGTTCCTTTTCAAATCTCCAGTGTCTGGTATAATACCTGGCACACAGAAGATGTGTGTTAATCCCTGCTGAATGAATGACTGGAAAGCAATTGTAGGCAAAGGGCACTGCCTGGCAGTGAAAAGTAGATGAGTGAGTCTTGTGTATTTGAAGGCAGAGGAGAGCTGAGTTGAGGAATCAGTTCTTCCAGAGCATGGAAGAGATGTGATTAAAAGCACAGCTTTAGTTTTAGAAAGCTGGAGTTGTGAAGGAAGTCTTTCTCAGTCTTGAAGGAAGCCTAACTGGGTGGGTATACAAGATAAAGTAGCTTAGTTCTGGTGGTCCTTTTTTAAGTAAGTTATGAAGTTAGAGCCTTTGCTAAGAATGAAGTACAAAAAGCAGAATCTGGCATCTGAAGTAAAAGGCTAGAAGAATATTGGTGGGAGCGAATGGTGAATCAATAAGAGATTAATAAATCCACACTGTCTTCCCAGGCAGTAAGAGTATGTTATCACAATCTGACTTATTTTTGCAACCCTCCAAATAACAGGCTGCATCTGTCAGTCATGCTAATTGGGACTGGCTAAGAGATCTGGGCCTGAAAGTAACTTAAGTCACTGATCTCTCCCTCTCCTGAAATCTCTCTCTGAGCTTCCTTTTCACCATTTAAGGCACTCAATGCAGTGCAGCTCCTATCAGATATCTGTCTTTTCCTTCTAGACTCTAAGCAGTTGAAGGGAAGGGCTGTACCTTATTCACTGTGGTGTCGTACCTTAGCATAGTGCTTTGCACATAATAGGCAGGAGATGTCTGTATTGGGCATACACCTCTAAAACAGTGTTTAGCACAACATATTGGTTTTGTTTGCCTTTTAGTCTCCGGTTTTAAACCATGAGCTGAAGGATAGGAGTTGAGTTGTATCGGTCTATGTCTCCTTTGTGTTTGAAACTTAGTAATTTTGCAAATGTTTATTGAATCAAATTTTACTGAAATGAATGTGAGGATTAAAGAATGAATAAAAGACAGAAAAATGTGGGGATTTGGGGGGTAACATAGAAAGATGACATACTGCAGAGGAACTACATTTTTGCTTACATAATCATCTCTCTCATCAGTAAGCCTATGAAGTTGGTGGAAAATGAAGTCGGGAGACCTGTTTCCATATACACCATAAGTGTCTGAAATAAACATTCTGGATCTTCTTATGTAAATCTCTAGCTATGCCCTTTCACAGCACAGAACCTGAGTAAAAGGGCTTAAGGGTTTCTTGCAGCTAAATGACTGATTTATCTGCTTTTACTGGGCACCTATTTGAAGGGAATCAGTGTCACACCACTATGGTCACTGTTTTCTTGTGGATTACTATTTAAGGTTGACATTGCAGAGAAAAAAATAAAAGATGGACTAAACAGTAGAAACAGCATTGGATGAAAGCGGTGGAAATCCACCCTCATTGCAAAAAAGAAAAAAGAAAGCCACTTGAAGAACATCTTTAAATGTTTACTAGTTTTTTAGGCATCTTTTTCCCTTCTCTTTTTTAAAAAATTGGCTTGCAGCCTGGGAGGCCAGAAGAAAATATCAAAAGTTGACCTTTACATAGGATATACTATGTGCCCAAGCGGTATTCTCTGTGATTTACATGTATTAACTAATTTCTCACATCTACTTTTGACTTTTCTTTCTTTTTTTTTTTTTTTGGTGCTGGGATCGAACCCAGGGCCTCGCGCATGCTAGGCAAGCGCTGTACCACCGAGCTACATCCCAGCCCTTCTCACATCTACTTTTGAGATGTATACCATTTATGCTCTCCATTTTGGACGAAATGAATCTGAGACACAGACAGGAAATATAACGTGATCAAGGTCATGGAGCAAGGAGTGAGGGAGCTGAGATTCAAACCCAAGCAGCCTGGCTCCAATACACCTTAAAGAAAAGCGCTGATTCAGATTTACCTGCGTGTGTTATAAAGGAAATCACTTATTTTTTTCTGATAATGGCACCCCAGGATTTATAGAGAGCCTGTTATGTGTCAGGGACCATAATGCACGCGTTAGCTGCATTCTCTCATTCTTCTCACAATAAACCGGCGAGATATTATTTTATCCCCAATTTAAAGACAAAAAAGATTTAAGATTCAGAGGCTAAAATGACTCGCCCAAGGATTGAGATGCAGCCAGGCTAACTCCACTACGAGCTTCTGTCTTTCTTGGCTGTGAAATGAGGCGAACGGAGGACCTCAAAGGGATTCCACGAGAGTACAATGAAATAATGGATGTGAAAAGGCCTCGGTGAACAAGTGCAAGGGCTAAGGCCTATCCACTTTGAATCGCGGTTGAAAACCGGTTCCCCAGGACCCCTGTCCAACGGTTTCTAGTCCCAAAGCCTGCCCCTTCTCCGCCCAATCCATAGCCATAGCTTTGAATCTCTTTCTCTATCTCCTCAGATCCTGCCCCCTCACACTTGGAGCGGCGGAGCGGAGAATAGAAGGTACGCGCGCGAGCAGAAGGCGGGGCCTGCCACCCTGATCCGTACGGGGGCGGCTTAGGCGCATGCGCTGTGGCCCTGCGGCTTCACCCGCCCCTTCTCTGCAGCCAATCAGAGCCCGCGGCGCGCTCAGGACGTATCAACGCTATGTGGGTCGTGTGCGTGCAAGGGGGGCGACGTAAGGGCGCTCCGCGAGCCCGTCTCTCCTCGAATGAAAGGAAACAACCTCCGGCGACAGATCTCTGCTCTCAGGCACTGCCGGAGAACAGAGACCGACTTCTTTCTCTTTCCCCTCATTGGCGCTTTTCTCCTGCCGTCCGCCTCCGGGTCCCGCTGGTGAGTCCCCACAGAACCCAGGGGCCCCCCATTCTCTGCCCGGCGGGAGAAGACAAGGAGGATGGCGGTGGCCAGGCCGCCGCCCCTGCCCGTTGTTAAGGGGGGACTCTTGGTGGTCTCGCTTTATTGTCAGGGACCCCAGAAGCGCCGCTCATTGTAGGCACTTGGCAGAGAGGCTGCTGAGAAAGTGCTCTGGAGGTGCTGAGGGAAGCGTTAGGTTTAAGCCTAGACTTCGGGGGAGGGGACATAACATTTGAGGAGGGAAAACCCGGGAATTTTTAGTCTTTGCTGTTGCTTAGAACATATTTGGGAAGGAGGGTGACTCCTAGTTTGGGAAGTGTAAGAGGAAGAATTGTTAGGATGGCATGAGGGTTAGCCTTACGGAATGAGGAAAAACTCGGGGGTGGGGGGAATTGGGGGTGAAACTGATGTATAAGGCGAAGCTTACCAGGAAGACTGGTAGAGGACGAACTCCTGGGGGCGGGGGCGTAAAGAAAGTGGTAGGAGGGTATTTTCCTGGATTCGAAAGGATTGCAAAAGGACGATCGAGAACCCTGACTTTACGACTGAAAAGAACCTGCTGAAGTGTTTTAGAGGAAGATAGTTTTTTTAGTTTATCTAGCGCCTTGATTAGAGGGAGATCTTGGAGTCTAGCGTGTTACTGAGGAATAACGGAGAGGATCGGGTATGTTATATGTACAATCCTTTATTATATGGGCGAACAGCACGGTATTCCTTTGCGATTTCCATTCGTTTCGATATTCTGCGTGGAAGTTAAAAACCCTTTTGTTTCTGAAAAATCTGCTTATGTTCATCTGCTTGCTACTTAATATCAGGTCTTATTCATACAGCTCAAATTCTTTCCTTACCGTGGGTTTGAAACAACTGGAAAATTCCTTTAGTTTCCTTTTGAATAACCGCAAAAAGCAGTGCGAAGCATGTAACAATATCGTGCAACCAAATTCAGGTGCCCTTCCGGTACATCGCTTACTCGTTTATTTCTCTCCACGGCAACTTTCCTGACAGAAATACTGCATCTTTTTGAGGATCGCGTTTATATATTTTGATGTGCATTTCAGCTTGCTTGCTTGCGGAATGTTTTCGTCTCCCGGAACTGCAGGTTTTGTTTTGTTTTGTTTGTTTTTCTGTGAAAATGTTCTTTCAGATACCAGGCATTGAATGAGCTCTCGAGTTGGTTCCTGAATGCCGTCCTTGATGTTTCAGGTTATTTCTACCTTGGTGCTTCACAGCATCTTGGAAAATCAGAAACAGTATCGATCGCTTCAGCCTAACTAATCTGTCTTTTGTATGCTCTCGGACATTTAAATTATGTTTCTCGTGCTGTTATTGTTGCCTCTTTAAATCTGCTTTGTAATAATACCTATAATGTTACCTTTCTTTTAAGGAGACGGTTTCATTGTTGGATGAAAGTATGAAACTTTGATCTTCGCAAATCCTGAAAAACCTTTGTAACCTGGAAATTAAAATACATGTGGCTGTGGATCATTATGAACCTCAACCACTTAGTAATGATCCTTGGAATGCCCGTATTCTACTTAACTAGAGACCACAGATGTGACAGCATTAGATAAAAATCTGCATTTTTAGGATAGACATTTTTTGCTAGGAGTCATTGTTTCCATGATGTTTCTACTTCATGTTTCATAAGGAGGCTGTAAAAAAATTAGCAAGATACGCACAGATGCATTATTTGAATTTTAGTGGAAAAATCCATTTAGTCATTGCATATTGGGGAAAGTTTTTAATTGGTTTGTTGCACTTTTTGTGTGGCTCTGTTCACTTTACAAATTAAATCTAAATTGATCACAGAAAAACATGCCAGAATATTTTTGAATGCAAAATAAAGAGTACCTTTTTTTGTCTCTTTCAGATTTTGGAGTCTTTGGTATCTAGAAAAGCAGGTTCTCAAAATTAGGAAGAGAAATTTACCTGTTTATTAATTGAAAGAGGCAGATTTCAATATGGATAGAATTTGGGGGATACAATTTCAGAATTAATTTTGAGAATAAACAGTGATTTTCCACTCCAGAAATTTCACTTAAGTCAATTTTGTAGCCACTGCAAGGATTGTATAGAAATTGCATGTTAAAGATGTTTGTGAAGATTAAATTTATAATAGGCCATCCTTTTAACTGGCCTGGATGACCGGGAAAATGCTGAATACATTACAGTGACTTCAGAGTGCCTATTATTTATTGCATAGTAGGAAAGAAAACTAATTTAGAACTTAAATAGCAAATTTTGGTGCTATTTATGAATCTTGGTGTTTTGCATAGTTAATTCTGAAAATTTGGACAGCTATATTCTTGATAAAGCAACTCAACACACACACTTGCCTGAGCAAATGCAAACATACTTCCCCTTTTGTTTCTGTAATGTGTTTTTTCCTTAATCCTAAAAGTGTTTACTGCTTGTTTTCAATCAGTTTCAGTTTATAGTCAGTGCTGTGAATTCAGAACTATTGTAAAGTATCAGATACCACTTGGAGGACTGAGGTATTTAAAATAATAGATAGCATTAAGAGTTCGTTAAGCCTATCAAAGCAAGGACTGTTGGGGCCTTTGGCGTTTTCTCCAAAAATACTACATATAAATTAATGAGAAGACATGTTTCCTTTGTGACGTCACGTTTAATTTTATTTAAGTATCTGAATTTCTCTGTTGAATGGCACTGAATGGTTTGTAGAGACAGTATTACCTTGCTACTACTGAGCTTGGTGAACAAATGCTTCTCAGAAAACTGCAGTGTTGTGTTAGAGAGTCAGTTGTTTTGACATAGTGTTATGAAAATGTTCATATGTATAGGAAAATGTAAAGAATTTAGTAATTAATTTTAAGATGAAAGTTTGAGATTTTATTGGTTGTGATTGTATATTATGGCATCCTGAGTCTTGATTGCTTAGTCTGTTGACTTGGGAAAACTACAAATCAAATAACTGGTTTTAAATTTGTTTAGTGTTCTTAAGAATCCATGTTGAGAATGATGATTTTAATCTGAAGTCTTCTATGTTACAACTTTCCTTTTTCTTATAATATAATTTGATCAAACATAAGGCTCATTCAGAAAAAATTTTCTTCCATTGAACAATAGTACTATTTTGCATATAGAAGTCACTGCATTTAGAAACCACTTTCAATTTGTGGCTTTAATTAATAAGCAGACTTGGGGTCAATCTCAGTCATACAGTAAAGACTGCATTTTTTGGATAGACTTACAGAAGCTTAATTTTTTTCCTTTATTTAGATAAGGAATAGAATAGCAAAACTTAATGTATTAAAAATCATATACATGAATGTTTTAATCTTGGAAATAATTCAGGTTTTTAAAATAAGTGTTCCAAAGTCATGGTTAAGTAAACTGATTTACTTTTATCATATGATCAATATGTGAACTTGAAGAAATTGAGCAATTGTAGAGTGCTGTTCCCTCTGGATATTTTATAGTTTTCTTAGTCGTTTTTGCTCTCTTCTTGCATATATAATTCTTTGTCTCCTTGATGGGCACCTAACTGTACTTGAAAAATATTTTTCATTAATTATGCCAGCAGATAATGATTTAATATTGTAAATTGTACCTGTATTTGTTTTGTTTTTTTTGAGACAGGGTCTTGCTATGTAGCCCAGGCTGGCCTCGAACTCAATACATAGCCCATGCTGGTCTCAAACTCTTGATTCTCCTGCCTCCTAAGTGCTTGGATTATAGACGGGTATCATCATGCCCAGCTACATTGTACATTTTTATTCACACAGAAATTGTTCTAATTATTTCACATATTCCCTAATTTGAGAGCAGTTTGATTTTTCTCAGTCTAGACTTCATTTAGTCCCGTCCTCTTCCTCTCTTCCTTATTTATTCCCCCTATCTTCCCCACCTCCTTCCCCATACATACGTATACCGTATTGGGTTTTAATATTAATTTATCTATACTAAGTAGCCATTTCAAGTGTATATATTAAAACCTAGGCCAAACATTAAACTGCTTACATGAATATGATTTTAAACCAAAATTAACTGTTTTGTTGCCATTCTTATTCTCTGTAGCATTTCTTGAGGCTTAAAGTGGCATTCTAAAGGCAATTTAAAAATCATGTCAAGCTCAATTGAACAGAAAAAAGGGCCTACAAGACAGCGCAAATGTGGCTTTTGTAAGTCAAATAGAGACAAGGAATGCGGACAGTTGCTAGTATCTGAAAACCAGAAGGTGGCAGCACACCATAAGTGCATGGTAAGTACATGGGCAGTGACCAAAAGCCCTTGAAACGTTCACAAGAAAGAATCTTAATAACAGGAATATTTCTGAATGTGAATAAAACCACTCAGTTAAAATTTTAAAATATGACTTGACACTAATGCTATGCCATTTTTACTTGAAAATTTCTTTTAAAATTTAACATCTTTTTTGTTGTTTTACTGTAATTAATTTATATATGAACCTTAATTTTTTTAAATGTAATTTGTAGCTCTTTTCATCTGCTTTGGTATCATCACACTCTGATAATGAAAGTCTTGGTGGATTTTCTATTGAAGATGTCCAAAAGGAAATTAAAAGAGGCACGAAGCTGGTAAGTTGGTATTTCTGCCTCTTGAGTATAAAAATTATTTTAGATTCATTAAGGAGGAAATTGCTTATTTTAGAGTATATTGCATTATTAACTGAGTAAAATTTTAAATTGAAGGCTTTTTTCCCCTAGCCAGAAAAATGTAGGCCTGGGTGCTTAATTGATTTACCTCAACAGGAAGGAATGAATCAATATTTATATTATTAAAATATTTTTCTTTTCAAAAAAGAATTAAAATCTTAAAGGCTGTGATTACTTACAAAACAGGCAGTTTGCCTAATTTGTATCAATGTGTTAAGTTCTTTATTCAAATATGTTTTTCATAATTCTGGGATGTTTTTCTCTTCTATCGATAAAGTTATTATGGTCATTACAAACAAAGGTGACAGACCCCCTCTTAGTGCATGCTGAATGAAATATTTTACTGTGGTTCAGCATTTGTACCTTTGGATAACTTTTGGTGAATTTTACAGGAGTCTTTCTGAAGCCATGCTAGAACGATGTTCCTGTAGTTATTCTTCACTACCAGTAATCAGATCAACGAGATACTGTATTGCTCTATTGGAAAAGTAGTGTCACCTAATTGGTATTTGTGGTACATGGTTTATTTTGAAACAATTAATTGAAAGATATATTTTCGCTTGGTTTTTTTCCTGTTTGAGCCCTTTATTATAATTACATCCATAAATGTACCTTCAGTCAAGTGTTTCATTATTTGAAATTTTTTTGTCTTTCAGTTCAACTTTTATTTGTTTATTTTAGCTTTTTCAAAATTATTGTTGTACTGAGGGTACATTGTGACATACCAAAGTTTTTACAATCCATCACGCTTGAATTCACCCCCTCCATCATTCTTCTTTATTCCCCTTCCCCCATTCCTGGAACGGTTTCAACAGGTCTCACTTATAAATAAAAAGTCATGCTAATACCCTTGAAGACTAGTGAAAAGCAAGTCATGTTTTTTTGTTTTGTTTTGTTTTGTTTTGATGCTAGGGATTGAACCCAAGGCTTTCTGGATGCTAAGCATTCACTTTACCACCAAGATACTCCCGCAGCCCTGAGGCATATTTTTTAAATAACTTCCATGGACATATTATGTAACCTTAGATAAGTCATAAACTTACTGTCATTTTGCCAACTGTCAATAGATAACGCTGTATCACTGCTTACTATGCAGTGATGTTGCACTACTAAAAAGTGCTATAAGACATATAAAGAATTTTCTTAGGGCTAGGTGTTTGGCTCAAGGGTAGAGCACTTCCCTAACTTGCACATGGCTCTAGGATTGATCCCCAGCACTGCTTTAAAAAAATAAGAGTCATGGCTTGTTTCGGAATCTGTTTGATGCTGCGGGCAGCTAGCATCAAGAATGAGAGGCAAAGGGGAGCACTTCTAAGCCTAGACATACAATTTTGCTTCCATTCCTTCCTTCTAAATGTCAGAATTTAAGTAACTTACATAGGGAATAGGAAGGCAGAGTTTATACGTTTCACTTTGAAATGATTTTTAAGACTCCTTTTAGCCTCCAGTTTTGTTTCTTCCATTATATTGTTTTTTTTCAAGAAGTGCTACAAGTAACTAGAACTCTAGATTTTAGTTTACTTTTCCCTGTGTAGATTTGTCTAAGTAATAAAAGGGCCATAAATCAACTAGGAAGGGAGAAAAAAATGAAGAGCTTTATGTAGCTAGATAAACTACATATAATTGACTTTTTAAGACATTTTATCCCTTGAGCCTGTTTGCCTTGGCTTCTGTTCATCTGGATTTCTAGGTGAAAAGTAGATCACGAATACCTATTGAAAATAATCAAAGACAGGAGCACTGGCTCCTACGTGTTTTCAAGACAGATTTCAATCTGTATCTGGTGTGGGCTCCAAAGGTGCTTACTTGCCCCATAGAAAGGAATACAGAGAAGAGGAGCTATAGGCAGTTTCCCAAGGTTTCCATGTGAGCCTCAAGGATCACAAGAGGAAAGCTATTCTGCATGAAAATATTAATCTCTTTCCATCATCTGTCAATGGATAGCACCAAGATGAACCAGGAAAAATTTGGCAGAGTACAAAGGCTCTTATCATTTGAGGCCCTGTTTTAGAAGTTTAGACATATATTTTTCTAGAATGATTTCCAGTTCCCACTGAAGCCATATGAAGACACTACATCTGTACTTTCTGTTCTTATTTTCCAGCATCTAGACAAGAAATGCAGATTTCCAAGTAAAATCATGAGTTACCATTGCTGTATTGAATTTGTCTAAGAACACACTTGAGCAATATTTGAAGCATATATGCTTTCTGGATGAAACTAGTTGGCAAAGTCACTAAAAAGGTTTACATGGATATCTGCTTTTACTAATTGGTACCTGTGTCAGATCTATCACAGATTGCAAGAACAAAAAGTGTTCAGGAGGCCATCTATTTAGTTTACCTTGCTTAGTCCTAGGCAAGATTGTCTATAAAACACAAGATAATATTTTTGTCTGCTCTGTTCTTAAATATGTCAGGAAATTGTGATTCTACCCAAGGAACATGAAACAAGACCGGTAATATATTACAACTTTCAGAGTTGAAAATTTCATCTTGGTGTAACTCAAGTATCTGTTAATTTAAAGGCATTTATTGTAGGTCTGTTTCCTTCCATTAAAGAAGTATTTGGTTTTTCTTCTTTTTTTAAAAAAAAAATCTGTCATATACTTGATCATCCTCACATGACTCCCAAATGTTCTCTTTTTCAAACTAAATTTTACAAACATCTTTTGAAATCCTCTGAACGTTTTCTAGCTTTTCTAGTAGTAGAAATTTCTTGAACACTTACTGAACATTTATTGAACACTTAATATGTGTTCAAGACTAGGCGGAATGTTTTAAATATGCGACCCTTTTTTTTAATCCTCACTATCATACTATGAGCTAGGAGAATATTCATTCTTATTTAAGGCTCAGACTGTGGTCCTATAGCTAGGAAGTGGCAGAGCTGCAGTTTTTATCCAGTGCCACAGCTCTTAATTACCAGGTTATACTGGACTGTCTTTTAAGCTAGCCAACCAAAAATCCATTTAAAAAGTATAATGATTAGAACTTTGTAGTTTTCTAATACAGATGGAAATGGTGCTCAATTTAGGATATGCCTCAGACTCCAGTAATTAGTATTTTCTATTAATAAAGTTATGTTGCTAATTTTTAGGACAGAAACCCTAGACACCCTATAAGAATATTCTGATTCTTATCCTCAAGATATTTTTGTACCCTATGAAAATATGACAAATAATTCTCCATACTCTGTTTGCTCAGTACCAGAGAAACAGTGTATCTGACTTTGAGAGTTTATTGTCTAGACGTTGGACATGCCATGAATGTGCATAAAAGACAATTCATGGGGTACACTTTTTTATTCTTCTGTTTGATAGGAGTCTTGCCTGTTTTTGAAGTTAAAACTACTTCCTAGGGATAGTAAGGTTTTAAAAAATGGAATGAATGTAGGAAATAGGCGAGCCATACCAGAATGGGCATCGAGATAAGCAACAATAGATTAGAGTGAAGTAGACTAAGGAGATTGCAGGGTCTTTTAAACGTCAGACAGGAAATTTAACTCAGATTGGAAAGAATGAGGAAGAGCAAAGCAGAGCTTTTCAGGAGACAAATGCTATACAGTAGGCACTGTGCAGAGTGAAGTACAGTGATGGCAGCATACTTGTCTGCGCTACATGATGTCCTGCTGGCGTCTCAAACTCAGCCTGTCTGAACCAGTATTCATAACCTCCCCACCCTGAAACCTGATTCTATTTCTGGGATGCCTTTGCCTCCTTTCTAATGCTACCCTGGATCCACTTTTCCTCTTCCAACCGTCCAGTAAATACACTGCTGATAGTTACTTAATCCTTGCTTTTAAGAGCTAATGTCGGGCTGGCAGAGTGGCTCAAGTGATAGAGTGCCTGCCTATCAAGCATGAGGCCCTGAGTTCAAACTCCAGTACTGCCCGAAATTTCTAATGTCACTCCCTAACTAAAAACCTTCAATGATTCCTTACTACATGCAAAGTAATTTCCAGAAGCCTCAGTGTACCATTGAGAAATCCTGTCTTAACACACCTTTTCTCCCTTCTTGATTTCTCAAACATGCTTGCCCCCTCTGCTTTGCATGTACTGATGTTCACCTGTTTGTGGTTCCATTTCCCTCTTAGCTGTCTCACAAAAATTCTGTTTGTTTTTGAGGTCCAGCTCAGAGTTCAAGCTTGCCTCTGTCATATCATACAGTACAGCACAAATGCACAGTATGCAGTGCATTTGGCACACATGCACAAGTCTTTCTGCCACACCATATTATGGACTCTGGGAGAGTAAAGGCTATATTCTTTTTGCCTAGCATAGGATTATGTGGGGGCAATACATGAGAAACACTTAGCATGGTGCTTGTTGTCTCCTTTGTGCTCAATAGCGTTCTAATAAGTAAGTGGGCACTTATTGTTGGTTCAATTTCAAGAAGAAAAGGGGCTTCAGTTGGATAAATTGTGAAGTCTTAATAATGGTTGAGGTATAAATTGACCAGGAAAATCAAAGCATAACATAAAATTCTTGTTTTTGTTGATTAGTGTTTTGGTGTTGCTTGCAGCTTTAGCAGTTTGCAAAGGGGAAGAGAGATCTAGATGGAAGAATCAGGTTGGTTATTTCTTCAGGATAGTGGAGAGCTGTGAGGATTTTCATGTTTCTTCAGCCTTCATTCTCCAAATGTGGTGGTGTTGTATTTGTCAATTAAAATTTAAAATTCATCCATCTGTCTATTAAATACTCGAGTGCCTACTTTGCACCAAGCATAAACATTTGGACATAAACATGAACAAATACAGGTTAGTGTTAGAAGTAAATAAGGTCACAGGGGAGCTGGGAAAGAAGACCATAGCTGATTCACCTAGGAAATCAAAAAGCTCCACAGAAAGTGACATTTGAAATGTGGTCCACCAGAGAAGCAATGCTATGGAAGTCAAAGGAGGAAGGAAGAGTTTCAAGAAGG